CTACCCGAAAAGCCGAGTACGGCGCAATTGGGGGATGTATTGTAGTTGCCTTTGGGCTGTATAGGGTCCTGCTGAATCAAGGTGTGCTCCATAGTGTTAAACGCTGCGCTTCGCCTGCCTCGGCCCTGCCTGGCATGCAGGGTTTGAGTGTCGGTCCATACAGGCATGTGGAGATTCCAAAGATGATTGAAAAGAGCAAAGAGCAAAGAGCAAAGAGCAAAGAGCAAAGAGCAAAGGAGGCAGGGATAAGGGGTCCCACAAAAACCTCCACGCCTCCCGGCCGAAGCCGAGGCGAATGACGGGCTCTCGGGGTACATTCGAACCATTCTAACCCGACGTCCCGAGCAATTTGGGGCTCCCATGGAGGGGTGTCTTTGTTCTGGAGGTGGGTGGGGGGATTGTAGTTCAGGGCTTTCGGGTATATCAACGTGTGTCCTGCTGAGGGGCAGTGCTTCCTGGCGACTGAAGAGTACCAGCAGGCAGCGGCCTTGGCAGTGTGAGCAGCCGGAAATTAGGCTCCAGATCCTGCTGGCTGAGGCGGAGGTCTACTACTCCGAGGCTGTCGCTGTGAACAACCCGAAACCCTAAGAAAAGCTTAGCTGGAAGACGACCCGGCAGGCCTATGACCTCTTTGCCAGCACCGTGGGGAAGAGATCCCCACTCTTCGGGATGCAGGCCGCTACACAGTTCTGATAGGCCTACGCCCTCAACGCCCCCTAGCCCCCCGAAACCCTGGGAGCCTTACGTGTCCTCTGGGAGGCGTGGGCCTGCGGCAACCTCCGCTTTGCCCAGGGCCGCCATGCGGCCGCGCTGCCGCTCTTTGGCGAGGCATGGCGCTCAGGAGTTAGGGTTGTCTTTACTTCATTTTGGTTTTTATTTCGGTCTTTGATTGGGGTTTCTGAGGACCGTAATGTTGACCTGTTACTTCAAACTTCCTCACTCCCGCTTACCGACCCCACTGTCAAGATTTCCACATCAAGTTTTCTTGCCCTCCCGAATAATCAACGCGATCGACCCTCACCCCTTCTCCGGTGACAGGGATTCCGAGATTCCTCGAGGCTTCTGGGGTCCTTCGGCTCTTTGAATAGGACTTAGTTAAAACTTCGTCAAAACACTTTGCAGTGTCTGGCCCTTACGCTGCCAGAGGGGGGGAGGGGTCGTCAGACTAGTTTGCAGCTGAAGGAACTGGGCGCTTGGGGCCTGAAAGGCTGCCCCTCTTTGAACACTTGATGGGTGGCTGGTTTGAGTCAAATAGTTCCTGTTTGACGTCACTCGTTGTTGCTTGGCATGGACTCTTGGATTCCTTCTTGAAGATTCGGTGCTTGGTCTCTCGGTGTCCGGAAGGCAACCTTTGTGTTTCGGGTTGCTGAGCTTTGGGCCGGGAAGGATGTCAAACAGTTAAGAACGGTTGCTGGAGCTTGTTTAACGACAGAGAAGATGAACTGCAGGTGGGTGTTCTGAATAATGGGTGTCCCGGCCGAGCGTCGTCGAGGTTTTCCGGGACTGGTTGGGGTATGAATCAAAAGCTCCCTAGACACACTTACTCCCCAGGGTCCTCATGAGTAAGGCGCTCTACGTCGAAGTGGTGGCAGACGGGCTCTCCGTGTCGGAGATGGCGAAGCTGGTGGACCAGGTGCAGCTGAGGGTTTAGGCTTTAGGTTTTGGGGTTCAGCTATATAGGTGTTGGGGCTTCCGGAGAGCACAAGCACCCAAAAGAAGATGCACAGGGAACGTAAGGATCATGCCGTCTCAGGCCTCGTCGCGAGGTTTTGTTTGGGAGTTGCTGCGAAGTGCCTGCAGTGTCCTGGTCTGGACATCTCTTTACAGGGCACCGAGTTCTGGGGTGAGGGGCCCAGGCTAAGCCTTGAGATGCCTTTCAGGCCCTATAGATCCTTAAGCTCCTGGCAGATTCTGCACTCGATGAACGAGCTGCGGAGTGAAGATGCGCCGTCGCTCCAGGCTGGGAGCCCTAAACTGCCCTAGACCCTACATCCTTTACATCCTTTGCATCCTTTGCATCCTTTGCATCCTTTGCATCCTTTGCATCCTTTACATCCTTTGCATCCTTTGCATCCTTTGCATCCTTTGCATCCTTTGCATCCTTTGCATCCTTTGCATCCTTTGCATCCTTTGCATCCTTTACATCCTTTGCATCCTTTGCATCCTTTGCATCCTTTGCATCCTTTGCATCCTTTACATCCTTTACATCCTTTGCATCCTTTGCATCCTTTGCATCCTTTGCATCCTTTGCATCCTTTACATCCTTTACATCCTTTACATCCTTTGCATCCTTTGCATCCTTTGCATCCTTTGCATCCTTTACATCCTTTACATCCTTTGCATCCTTTG